CTCTCTCCCTCTCTCCTCTGTCTTAGGCACCCAATTCAAATTTATAATACAATGTACATTTCTCCCCCCCCTCCCCTTAGGGGTATTGGCTCTTTCCTGGTACCCACCAGCTATGGCTGATGAAAATGGAGAACCCACTGATGGCCTTGTGCCTACAATTTTGGATATTGCTCATAAGTATAAATTAAAGGTATAGTATTTGAAGTTTCAGATTTGTGGAAATTAGCTGTAATGGGTTGATTAAACTAGACAGTCTACATTGTTATAGCAATAAAATTTGTTGATATTTTATATCCATTTCCCTCAGATTAAATTCCATTGAACTCAATTGGACTGTTTCTGAGTAGTCATATTTATAATTTTACTATTAAATATCATGAATAATTTATTCCAGTAAAGGAGTATTATTGGCAAAATGCTACGTTGTTATCTTCTGTAAGTCAAATGTATTCAAACTGACTATGAGGCAGTCATATCTTTTAAATGAATTTCATGAGCACAGTTTTGTTCCACTCCAGTTAGAAAGCAACTTGCAGCAGTTATGATGTCATCTTCTTGGAAGCAACCCCCTCCCTTAATTCAAAGCAAATATTCCCAGATAAATATTGTGGAACTTGTTTTAGAGTTGAAATGCAACTTGTGACCCTTTGTTTTGGTTGTTTAATTGATTGTTGTGTTTTTCCAGACTTGTTTTTGGATTATATAATCTGCATCTTTATTGTTGTATTCTTGTATCCTGCAAGATGGCCAGAGTTATACAGATTGGGGCGGCCTGTAAATTTAATAAATAAATAATATATGCACAGGTTTGCAGTGCTAATATGCTAGAAACAGAACACACCATTTCTTTGTGCCTTGTTTGTTGGGTAAAAGCTAGTTTATGCTTTCTATATTCATTTAAAACTTGTAACTTTCTATTGAAATTGGGCTGGTGATACATGCTTTGAATCAAACATTCCCAGCATATCCTGAAGATTTGCTGCCATTCACCATAGAAAGCATTGAGTTAGCTAAGCCAATGACCTGACTTGATGCAAGACAGATTTCTATTTTCCTAATACATATCATAAAGCAATTAAAAAACATAAATATATCTAGCCTTATGGGCAATCCCTTCTAATTCCTTTGGAAATGGAAGAATTGTCCTCAGTCAAAACTGAGATAATGGCTGCCCTAAAAAAAAATGCAAATTTTAAATAGAATGTGAAGAAATATTTGGCATGTGTTTGAGGAATCTAAGGTACAGATTCCTTAAATCTAATCATAATTAGATTATTTAAATATTTTATTAAAATATTATTGTACATATTATTTAAATATTTTCTTCCAACCTAGAATTGGAGGTGAAAATATTCTGTCCCAGATTTTGAGAAACAGATGTATGCTGGCTAGAAATTGTGTGAAGAAATGGCCAGCATAGGCTCTTTAATACTGAGTTGTCAGCTATCTTTTCCTTTCAAAGGATAAGGTTGATTAGGGAGGCAGGGAAGATGTGTTGGGGAAAGTTGTTTGCTAATAAGGTAAATCCTATTACATATTTAGGTATAAGTTGCTGAACTGGAAAATTTAATAATCTGAACTGCCCAAACTCTAAAATTGATCCCAACACTAATTAAAACTGAACATTTAATAATTTAAACATTTCTTGCCAATCAGTACATAATTTTTTTCCTGGTGACATTAATTTGTTGAATTGCCATTTCTCTGATAAAAGGATCATCTGGTGAATGACTCAGTGCCTCCACACTTTTGCACAAGACTTTGGAACTGTTGGTCAGATATGCCTCAGGAATGAATAGTCAATGGCAAAGACACTGAGACTCTCGATCACTTGAAATTCCAGCCACATTTCCTTTTTCCCTGCTAGCACATTTAAATTTGCTCTTCAGATTGGAATAGGCAATGTGCTTATATTTCCTTTTTCTGTGGATTTAAAATTTAAAACATCATAGCATTGTCACTAGCATTGGGTGAATCTTCAGCAGAGGAAAACAGATTTAGTACTAAAGAGCTATAAACTTTCCACTAGGTGTCATCTCCCAGCTCTTTTGTTCTGGTTTAGTTAATAATGCGAAAAATTAAGTGACATTGCAGCATAGAGTCCTTTTGTTCTATGTTCCTATCAGATAACTCTGCTTTCCATTTTCTAACCAATAATCTGTATTGTGTGAAAAGAGAACAAGCTCCATTCCCATGTGATGGAATATGAGTTTCTCTCCCTTAAAGGTTCCCCCCCCCCTTCTTTCCCAAAGCCTTCTTTTCCTACTGCATGCAATATCAAATAAAATTTCTGTCTTCAGAAATACAGGGAATGGCATAGGCTACTGAATTCAAGTTTTTCTCTGCTCTTTTGAGACCTTCCATTAAAAAAAAAAAAAATCCTGTGTATTGTTTCCATGTTTCAGGTCACTTTCCATATTGAGCCATATAAAGACAGAGACGATCGCAGTATGTACAGCAATGTCAAGTATATTATAGACAAGTAAGAACTTGGTGCAAAATTTTAATATCAACATGATAATTTCATTCTGTTACATGTTATCTATGTGTGCCATGCCTGTTTATCAATTAAAAATGGACTCCTTGTAAATAAATACAGTTTATTTACTATTTACTGTAAATACTATTTACAGTATCTGTAAATAGATACAGTTCTCATTAAAATAACCTGAACTGCCATTCTTTCTTCAAGTTCACAATATTTAATGTAATTCTTGTCATTTTTGTTACTGTGTCATGCAGCAACAAATATGGGATTACAAGCAGAGCAGTTCAGTAATATTATCTTTCTAATAAGACTACTTTATTAAATTTGTTTTACTGAGTTGCAGTTATTGTGTGTAAATACAGTGGGGCAAAAAAGTATTTAGTCAGCCACCAATTGTGCAAGTTCTCCCACTTAAAAAGATGAGAGAGGCCTGTAATTTTCATCATAGGCATACCTTAACTATGAGAGACAAAATGGGGGGAAAAATCCAGAAAATCACATTGTCTGATTTTTAAAGACCTCAACTATGAGAGACAAAATGGGGGGAAAAATCCAGAAAATCACATTGTCTGATTTTTAAAGACCTCAACTATGAGAGACAAAATGGGGGGAAAAATCCAGAAAATCACATTGTCTGATTTTTAAAGACCTCAACTATGAGAGACAAAATGGGGGGAAAAATCCAGAAAATCACATTGTCTGATTTTTAAAGACCTCAACTATGAGAGACAAAATGGGGGGAAAAATCCAGAAAATCACATTGTCTGATTTTTAAAGACCTCAACTATGAGAGACAAAATGGGGGGAAAAATCCAGAAAATCACATTGTCTGATTTTTAAAGACCTCAACTATGAGAGACAAAATGGGGGGAAAAATCCAGAAAATCACATTGTCTGATTTTTAAAGACCTCAACTATGAGAGACAAAATGGGGGGAAAAATCCAGAAAATCACATTGTCTGATTTTTAAAGACCTCAACTATGAGAGACAAAATGGGGGGAAAAATCCAGAAAATCACATTGTCTGATTTTTAAAGGCTGTTTTTCTGCAAAGGGACCAGGACGACTGATCCGTGTAAAGGAAAGAATGAATGGGGCCATGTATCGTGAGATTTTGAGTGAACACCTCCTTCCATCAGCAAGGGCATTGAAGATGAAATGTTTAAAAATCAGACAATGTGATTTTCTGGATTTTTTCCCCCATTTTGTCTCTCATAGTTAAGGTATGCCTATGATGAAAATTACAGGCCTCTCTCATCTTTTTAAGTGGGAGAACTTGCACAATTGGTGGCTGACTAAATACTTTTTTGCCCCACTGTACCTATCTAAAGCTAGTTATGACATTTCAAATGAAATATAATTGAGAGAGAGGCAGGAATTAGAAGTGTAGCTTTTAAGATTTATTAGAAATATATGTGGAATATTCACTTTATTTGTTTGCTTCTTTGCTTTATAGATATGGAGGCCATCCAGCTTTTTACAGACATAAAGTCAGTACAGGTAGAACCCTTCCCATGTTCTATGTTTATGATTCTTACATAACAATCCCAGAAATGTGGGCAAATCTGCTCACTGTATCAGGATCTCAAAGTATACGTAATACACCCTATGATAGCTTATTCATTGCCCTTCTTGTAGAAGAAAAACACAAACATGAAATTCATCGAAGTGGCTTTGATGGAATTTACACATATTTTGCCACAAATGGCTTCTCTTACGGCTCAAGCCATCATAATTGGCCAAGTTTGAAAGCTTTCTGTGACATAAAAAACTTAATGTTTATTCCAAGTGTGGGCCCAGGCTACATAGATACCAGCATCCGACCATGGAACAATCACAACACACGCAATCGTGTCAATGGGAAATACTATGAGACGGCATTCAGCGCTGCGCTTCTAGTGCGACCTGAAATCATTTCCATCACCTCTTTCAATGAATGGCATGAAGGGACTCAGATTGAAAAAGCTATTCCTAAAAAGACTGGTACGACAACTTACTTGGATTATCAGCCACATAAACCAAATATTTATCTGGAGCTCACTCACAAGTGGTCTGAAAAATATAGCAAAGAAAAAGAACAGTGGCTTACATGAGTTGCTGTTGTGATTGGGAGTTCTACAATGAATCTATCACTGATAGATTGAGAACATGTTCAGTTATGAGGAAATGGTCTGCACTCTTGCTACAGCTTTGTTATAGAAAGTTTTCACTTTAAGGAGTAAAGGTAACAACAAGCAATATTATCCCTTCAGTTGTTTTATTATATGAAGATGATGTTGGCCACGCTTAATATTGTATATATTATTATGTATTACAACTACTGTTTCCAGAGTATTTGAGTGGTTACACAAATAGAATGTTACAGAGCTAATTTCAAATCTGGCTGCAATCAAAATAGTTGCATAAGATATCTGCCTGCAGATTTTTTTTTTTATTATTATTGCATTTTTTGGGAAAAAAGAACACCTCTCAAAGCAAAGCAGTTTAGAACCCATTTCAAATATAATTTGAAAAGCTGTAGTTGAGATATGAAATCAAGCAAAGATGGTGCTCACATCCAGTCCTTCCTCAGTAAATCTCTTGGATCAGAAGCTTGGAACAACTGTGTACAAAGATATTTATCCAAGTTTGTTGAAGATTAATATGTATATGATGCATGACACTGTAAAGAAATGAATTCACTAGGAACTTTTCAGTTCAAGAACCACTTAAAATTAATCAGTGCTATGTAAGAGCACAGTGTTAGGGTCCTGTGCAGTTCTCAGTAATCTCCATGTGAATAGCTGGAATGGGTGATAAATGGCCTGTTATATTTAGTGTGCTTTTCAGAACACTAAAAAAAAAAAAAAAACTTTTATTTGCATTTACTTTATTAAAATTAGGGAGGGATGTGAAATTGTCATAATATTCCTAGCCAGTAAACTATTACTGTTTCAGTTCAACTATTTCTAAAAAGTGGTAAATTGGCACCCACCTTTTATGTGAATCACTGCAAGTAGAATTAGGAAACAACATCAAACTCCCCCCCCCCCAAAAAAAAGGTGAGGGAAGGAGGGGTTAAAGCAATAACCAACTGAAATTGAAGCATTGAGAAATTTATAGTGTCATTCAATTCATTCATAGGATAGTCTGACCTGGAAAGAGGACTTTAATGGGAAGGCTTGTCCCTAATAGGGAGAGCTTAAAAGCCACCTTTAGTTATATCCCAACCATTGGAATGGTTTTCAAAGAGAAAATAATCTAGCAAAACATTTTACTTCTCAGAACAGGCTCAGAATATGTTTTCATGAAACTTGTTAGGCTTTTGAGAATATTTTAGAAGCTAAAACAAGTCTGTTTAAAATTATTGTTCTTTTTCCAACATCTTAATTAATATCCATTCCCAGATTAAAATGAAGATACCAAATTTGATGGGGTGAATGGAAGGAAGCTCTAATATTAAAAAAAAAAAATCACTCATACCGTTTGTTGTTATAGTATTATGAATGTCACTTTTACACTGGCTCTTTGTTCAGTTTCCTTTTTACAAATATGTAATTTAAGGATTCTTTGCATGAAAGCACCCCATTATTACCACTCAAAGTGGTTTACACTATTTAAAAAAAAATCAGAAATAGAAAAATTAATAACTTTTAAAAAATTGCTTCCTTGCAAGTAAACTTTACATAAAAAGCAAAACTTTTTTGTGGAGCCATTTCAAATATAAACTTCATTGGTAATCTGAGATTCGAAGACTATTCACAAGGACTCTTCTAATGTGAATGTTATTCCATAATGGGCTATAGGATGTTGTGATATGGGGCAAAGAGTTGGTGCTTTTCTATTTCCACTAGTGATGGGCAAACTCTTCATCTGGGCCTGAGAAAATTGTTTTATTCATTAAAAAAAAATATCTTACTTTATTTTGCATCTTACTCTAAACCCAATTTGCAGTCTGTTCAGCATCTAAGAATCTCATCAGAAGCAGGATGGGCCCAGACTGCGTATTCTCCTGGCCACAAAAAAGTCTGCTGCAATGGAAGCTATTTCTGCTGAGAAACGTATTTTTTTCTAGGTGCCTGAGACTTTGCATATAAACGACTAGACTGTGGACCATGCCCCGTGATTTTAGAAGGAGAAAGATGCAGGTGCCATTAAGGCATTTCCTGAAGTCCCATCACTAATATTGCCATCTTTTGCCATGTGGGCAAAAAAAGGGCAAAGAGAAGCCCATTTCTTCCACTACTTCTCTCTCTTGCTTTTTAGCAATTGTTAAATGTTTGGAGAGTTGAGACTGATGAAATTTGGATTTTCTAGCCATGCTAATAATAGAAATATAATCACATTCTATGATTATTTTCTCCTACAAAGGATCCAGCATTAGTCACTTATCACAGGAAGTAACACAAGGACTTTCTAAAAAGACATGCAATTTAAAGTGATTAGCTGTGGCAAAAGACATAGTTCATTGCCATTTTTGTAACTAATCCTGCAAAAATAAATGGGTCATTGTATTCTAGGATATACCTGTATTGTAGCAGATACTCAATGCAGAGGCACTGATGGATATGAGTGCACTAAAGAACAGTATAGATGTAAAGTGAAAATTATTTAAATGCAGCTCTCCATTTATCCAGTTTGCAAAGGTGTCTGATGGGATACCAAGGCAAACTGTGAGCTGAATTTTATCTTTCCTACATAATAATAGATTATAGCTGATGCATACAGACCATACTATACGCCTGTAGGTAATAATGCTAAGCTTTCCATTTGTTATACCACTCAACTTTCATAGACACCATAAAAGAGCTTTATTAATGCTACTTTCTTGCCAGCAGAAAACTAAGTGGTTATTATTTATTTATTATATCACTCATTAATTACTGTGTAAGTTTTATGAATTGTCCCTTTAAAGTAGGGGTGGGCAGTCTGCCAATGGCACGCAGCCTCATGGCACAAGGAGCACACCAAGATTGTACAGCTGAAGTTCAGTTTTAAAATGGCTGATTTGCATGCCCTTTTGGAATTTAGGGAGAGTTTTAAGGGTGGGAATGGAAATACTTAGCTTTTGGGTGGCAGCAAGCTTACATTTCTACCTTTTAATCCCCTGAATCACCCAGAGTGAAAAATATACTGAAATATTTAATCCCCTTTCAATGACATCACTATGTCATCAGAACATGTTTTGCATCCTGCTGACTGATCAAAACTTATTTCTGAGTAAGCATGCTTAGAATTGCATTATTGATATCTTCAGAGGCCTCAGAAAATTTGACACATTTATTTAAAGCGCTTATAGTATTCTTAAAATAACTAATACTTCAAACAAGGCCAGATGTCATACTGACAGAATGAAGAATTTACCTCAAGTAACAGATTTTGGATATCATGAAGGGGAAGCAGATTCTTAGTTACTTTATTGGTCTACTTTTGCTGCCAGGGAAAGGCCCTTATCAGAGGGAGTTTCCACTCCATGTGGTTATGCATTTTTATTTGACTTGTCATACTCAGTTCATAGATAAGAATTTAGGGATAATCAAGCTCTGAAAACAATGTAGCTACTTCTATAGGCACTTTGAATAATCAGATCAGTAAGCTAAGATTCTGTATCATTTACTTCTCACTGTCAGTTGTTCACTTGGAAATACTGTTATCTGCCATAGGTATATGGATGGAAAGAGAAACCACATATATAGTTGGACACTCAGATGGCCAGCCCGTTTTTCAGCAGCTACAGCTAAGATTTCAAACAATCTGCCAGCTAAATAATAGGCCTTTCTCCTTCTCTCCTTCATCATAGTATATTGCTGGATCCACTTCATTGGATATATAGAGTTTGAAGAGTTATGCCAATTGTTCTGTCAGCTAGGATAATTTATAGCAGTGTTGTTCCCTTAGATGTTTGAAATACTGAAAGAAAGCAGTTTTGCAGTATTACGAGAGAGGGATTACAGCAGTCTTTATTTCAGTTTTTAGTGTTA